GTGAAAGCATGTCCTCACCATATTTTGGCAGGAGTGATACTATCCGGTTCGTAAGTGACTGCGTCATATACACGCGCGCGCCCCACTGATCACTAGCGCCCATTGGCTAAGCACTCCAGATGCACTTACTTCCGGTTCCACTTGGTTCAAATGCTACACCGTGTGCAGAACACATGGTTAAGTTGAAATTACATCAAACTTACAAACCGTATGAAGAGAAATGAAATACAACCAATCGATGAGAGAAGTCCGTGTTTTCACGCAATATTACAGAAATGTGAATAAAGCATAGAATACAACTCACATCGTGGGAACAGGCCAGCGTCTTATTTTCAGTGTTAATTGGTTAGCACGACTAAGTTCATCCAACCGTAAACTCCTGAAAACGCATTAAGTAATATATGGCAAACTGCCCATTATTGACTTTTAAATTATGAGATTCGGGGGAAAATTCAGGAGACTGGAATAAAAGAGGTGGTAGTTGCAACATTGATGCAAAAGACAATAAACAGGTGAAAACTTCGGCGAATCTAAACAATGCAACAAGCAGATAAAACCGTCCAGTGGATTTTCATTTTGAACTGTAGGCCTAAACACCTCCGGTTGGCTCAGGGTTATAGGTGAATACTGCCCGATGTAGTGTCGTATGTATTACACTTCAAACGATGCTGAGGGGAACTGTAGAGAAGGTAGTTCAAGGTTTGCAAGATGTACCTCCTGCTCGCATTCCTTGTAATCAGTGTTGAGACTGCACGGCAATGAAAGTGTTCCTATAAGCAGCGGTGGATTGGAGTTTTTTTTAAATGAAGTGGGCGGGGCACTCAGTGAAGACCACACATACCTCAGATTCCCGGCAGAATATACTTGAAAAGGGAGGAGGACAAATAGATTCGTGTGTATGCACGTTGACGTCTCGATTAGTTTATCGGTTTAAAAGAAAAATTGATTTGATAAGGATCCAATGTTTCTCGTCCGCTCTCCTGTCGCTTATGCCACGTTCGTTCGAATGTCGCGATTCATTTAATATCGAACAATATTTCAGATAAATCGTCAGAGTTTGACGAACTAACGAATCTGTCCAGAACTGACCTTATACGCAATTTAGGATTGTTAGATATTCTAACATATTTATGATTGTCTTCAAGGTGATCCACTAAAAATCAAGACAAATACATTCGCCGTTTGTTAATTACGCTATAGTTACACAAAACGGCGAGTTTGTGGATACTCGTTTTTTTGTGCTTTTGATTAAGTGACGTATTCCGATTCCTTAACAATTATAGAGCACAATATTTCAAAAAGAGTTGACCAAAATCCAAAGCTATATCTGAAAAAGGAGGATGCCTTTCCAGCCTGCGCTCTCTGCTAGTCATGCGCACAATAATAACGCCATACACCGTGTCGCACCGTCTGCTAATTACAAGCTGGAGTATTTTGCAGTCAGACCTAACTAGACTAACTATACGTTTGAGTAAGTGTGAGACGGAAATTTACAAGTACAAAAAAATATGTAACTTCCATGAAAATGACAGGTGAAACGAAACAATCTATCCTTGCCAATTTGACAAGTATCACCTGTGGATGGGATAAACCCTAACGTATGCACCAGGAAACTAAAGTCGGTTCCCATCGTTTCAAAGAACCTCTCAGGGAAGTAGTTCAACCAAACCTTTGTTAAACTTGACACCGTCTTTGTAGTGCTTCTGTAATATAGTCAGTGTTTACTTCATCGAAACCAATGTATGTTAATAGTTAACAATATGTTAATAGCGTCAGTTTAATTACGGAAACGACTTGTGGTAATTCGTAGCTGGAGTCGCTCTTGTAATGATGACATACCTGAGCAATTATGGGTCGAGCTAAACAACCGTGACTTCACCTGTACATAATAAGTCATGTTTTGTAGAATTTTACACTCCGATAGACTTCTCTTGCTACTGCATGTGGAGTTGAACATTTTGGGTTTTGCGAGTGTAGGCTCAGCCGTTCTTACGGTCACTCTTCTGTTGGTTGTCTCCAGTTATTCCTGCCCACCTCTTTTTGGCCGAGTAGACAACTCGTAGTATCATGACTTATCTAGACATGCTGGGTTTATTGCCAGAAAACTTTTTGGCTGTCTTGTAATTTTGGCATTATAAAAAAAAAAAAGAAGGAAAAAAAAAAACAGAACCGAGGCATAACTGAAAATGAACGGTGTTGCTGTTGAAACCCCTCACTTTTGAACCCCAAACCAATCCCAACTTATACCGAAGTTAAACACCAAAGTCTCAATTCTAACTCAAGTTATCATCCGCAAACTAAGCTGCCCGGACGGACGGGAGGACGCCGTAGGCGATGACAATACCCCTCCACTGAGCCTCTAGGCTGAGGTGTAACAAGTAAAATGAGAGGGTATTGCGTGTCACGACGAAGCCTTGAAATACTGAATTTCTGTGGTTCCATAAGTTGTATCATGGAATTTTGACAGTGGGAAAAGATATGACTACACCCCCTGTGAAGGAATTGGATTCGGATATAAAAGGAAAACAGTAAAAGGCAAAACTGATATTTTGTTTTTTTTAATAATAGTCAACACTGTGTACGGGAAAATTCAATGTGAATTGGATTTTTTTCGTCACAACTACATTTCTTGTGAGTCTCAAGAACTATATAAACCAGTCAGTATTTTTTGTTATATTTTGTTCGCCACAGTAACAACCACAGTAACGTTGAGTGGCACTTTCAAGTGAGCGAGCCTTTTTCAAAAATACCTGGAGTTTTAACACCTGGAAACGAAACCCCACAAACTTGAACAAGTTCTTGGAAAAAACTCCGCTACGGCAACTAAACAAATGATGATTGTTGGCCCATGAGGAAACCTTTTTTTATTTTCTACTTGTGCAATATGTACTTTGCTGCATTGTGTACCCTATCGACATGGGATTTTTGCAGCTCTACGTGTGTGTTTGTGTGGTCGTGGCTGTGTTCAATGTGCTGAGTGGTATAGCGATTGAAAGGGAATGTCCAAACCGTATGAAAAACTCATTGCAGTACCGACCCCAGCATCAGTCACTGAACTATTTGCTCTTTTCACTAAGTAGAGGGATTGATATGTTGAGGAGAATCATGTCGCACACCTGAGACTGCCTAAACTCTCTACAACTAACCGTTCTGCGTCTAGCCCATTTAGCATGATTACTTGTGGCAGTTAACGCAATTGTCACACGTCAAGCTCTGTTATAGATGTGACTGCTACCAATATTTCTTAGCGCCACAGACTATTTCCTGAGTGCTAGTGATTCGGCCTACATTACCAGGTATGTTTAATATCTTGAATTAATAACGTTTCCCCGGACTTTCGAACAGTCGTTAGTCGTCGGTTTTTCCACATTTGTAGAATACAATTTATAATTTTGAGCAAGAATGAATGGGGAATCGCAGGCGTAGACTAAGTGTGAAATACTACAACGTTTAGCACTTAAGAGGGCCAGCGGTGAACAGATGTACGGGTACGAAACTGCTTCCAGTCGAATAGATGTCCATAAGGGTTACATCTAATCGTTAATCTGTGTGGGATATCAATGAAAAGAGGTAAAAAAAAAGGACGGCAAAATTTCGATTAAATTTCCGGATATCATCTCAAGTCTGCAAGATATTGTGTGTTTTAGTTTTTAACTGGAATTTCCAAATACTTCGGGAAAATTCTTCATATTTTCACGCATACATGTAAACAACAAAATCCAATCCTTAAAGTGCTGCTTCCGTGTTATGGTCTTCACCATTAATAAAAACTGTGTAGTAAAGGGTGAGCCAAAAAAAAAAGTGACCTTGATCAATGATATTTTTGTTCTTAAAAAGGAATCAAATTTGACACATCAAGTAAGTATGTCTTAAAAGAACATGTTTTTCCACTCATCTGAAAAAAAAAGGAAAAACGGCCCACTAGAAATTCATCCATGCTATCAGAAGTTCTGCATGTTTTACAGAAATAGCCTATTTGTGATATATTTCAATGGAATGCCATTGAACGTTGGGTTGAGTGGGCATTACAGATTACACGCAGGCATTCAAATACAAAATGAGATTTCAATCATTGAGTCAAACCTGAAACACTATTTTAAATGTCAGATTCTGTATTTTGAATATGAGGAACAAGTGAACTTTTTTTTTCTCTGAAATATTGATGGCGATTTTTGTCATAACTTGGGAATGGAATATGCAAATTACGTGAAATTTCCACAGTTACTAGTCAATAGCATGTAGGCCTACTTTATCTTTTTGCTATTGTTGTGAAATGGAGCGAGCCACACATTTTAAAAATATTTTGTTCCGATTAGGTCACTTTCTTTTTAACTCACCTTGTAGAACCGGGTTTCCAAAGAATTGGAGAACCGAGTATGACATCGGCTATCCGCTTCCATGTCGTCGGTGTTAACCAGAAATCATTGCGAATTCCCAACCAATATTTCTTATAGACGAGCAACAGCCAACTGCATTTGTGTGTCCTACCGAACATTTTCCCCTTTTCTGCGGAAGTGGAAAGGGTATTTTTCAGAAAGATAAAAGCAATGAAATCGACGGTCCAGTCCCAGTTTTTTTCAATTTGTTTTTGTTTCTCCGAGACATGAAACAGTAAATTCAGAACAGATCATAAAAGTATTATATTTTCACACTCTTTGTATGTTTTTGAGGTTATTGAACAAGAATTTTTTTCTAGAACATTCTGTGCTTTAGGCACGTGCCCCAAAGAATCGAAGATCCGATAATGGCGTGCAGTGGTAAGTTTTTACTTCAATAACCAGAAATTGACTTTGTGCAAAACCAATATTTAGAAAGTTTGTTAAAAACAATTCCTTTAGGAAAAAAAATAATAATCCTTCATCTGTAAATCTTTTCATTGTATGGATTTCCTTACTGTATTTTTTTTTTACAGCCTGTGACTATAGACTTTTCCTTCTGATCCACTGCATGAGATAAAGGGCTGCATTTCCATCTCAAACATCCTCCGTGAACTGAAGATCATGCAGTCTTGTAGGAGACATTCCACCCTCTTGTGGGCAATTGTTCTGTCTTGGAGCATCATCTGCGTAAGCGTTTTTGCCACATCAGCTGAGCGGCAGGGAGACCTGTCAGACTATGAGTTGGCCAGCTTTGGCAATCCTGATATTTTGGATGAACCCAAAAGACGTGTATCAAAGTTCAACCATTTTACCTTGAGTGACCATGGCGATGTGTATGTTGGAGCTGTCAATTGGTTGTACAGGTTGGACAGTAGTTTGGAAGAGATACAGATTGTTTCAACCTGTGATGACAGCAGGCCAGATAGTGTGATGCCCTGTCACCTTACAAATAACTACAACAAGATACTGGTAGTTGACAGTACTCGGCCAAACAGTTTGATAACCTGCGGCGGTGTGTATGATGGTATTTGTCAGTTACGACAGTTACAGGATATTAGGAACTTGATGATGGAATCTGTTCCTTACGTTGCTGGGTTTGAGGACGCATCTACTGTTAGTCTGATTGCTCCAGGAAGAGGTGGACAACAGATGCTTTATGTGGCTGTTACGTTTACTGGGGAACATATTGATTCTGCAGGATTCTTTCCAGCAATTACAAGAAGAAGCCTAGGCAGTCCCTTTTTATCAGCATTCATAACGGATAAAGTCTCTTTCAATAGCGAGGCAAATATGGACTCTTATACCATAAAGTCTGTTGTGACTTTCGAGCTTGACGGATTCACATATTTAGTTGCCTCTCAGAAAGAGGATTTGAATTCTGCACAGTTTGTTTCCAAGATCAACAGAGTCTGTCAAGGCGGTCTAAACCTAGACGCTTACACAGAAATTACCCTACAGTGCAGTGGATCCGATAGCAGTGTGTACAGCTTGGTGCAAGCAGCTCACTTTGGACCAGCAGGACCTGATCTAGCGGCATCATTGGGTCTCCATGCAGACGAGCAGGTGCTGTATGCTGTGTTTGCCAAGAACCAAGGATCTCCGGGTACCAGTGATGTTCCCATCGATCAGTCAGCATTGTGTGTGTACAGGATGACGGATATCTTGGATGCCTTCAGAGAAGCAGTGCGGGGATGCATTCAGGATGGAAATACGTACTCTGTTGACTATTTGGAGGGTTCTTTTTGCAAAAGTTTCGGGGTGAGTACAGAAGCGTATTTAGAATGATGTTGTCATTTCTCTAATGAGATTCAAAGATGAATTCCCCGTGCTGTTTTCGAGTTACACGTCGATTTTTTTTTCTCTATTTGCCCAGCAATATAAAATTTATTCACTTTTAAGTGAGACAATTTACTCAAAAATCCAACAGTGTTTAGTTATTGAATTATATCTTTACAAATTTCGAATTATTGGCTGCCAGACAACAATTTGTGCATAAAAATGAAATGATAAAATATGAAAACTAAACAAATCCACTTCTTGAAGAGCAAAATGTATGCACCTGTAAATTGCACGTCTTCGAATAAAAAGCCAGATTACCTGTACTTGTGTGGCGTAAGTCCAACCCGACTTACACCAACCCAACCCAAATGCACAGGTTGCCTAACCTAAAATGCATAAAATGAAATGAAAAAAATATTCAAACTAAACAAAATCCACATTTTGAAGAGCAAAAGGTATACATCTGTAAATTGAACGCTTGCGAATCAAAAGGTGCGTTACCTGTACTTTTGTGGCGTAAACCCAATCCAACCCAATTACCCAACTCAACCCCAATGCACAGGTTGCCTTACATAAATTAAATGTGTCATCTTAGTCATCGTAAAACAAGCACTATAGCCTACATGCAAAATACGCTGCTATTTCACAACAACGAGCGGGAATATATTGAATAGCGAAGAGGAGAAACTGCAAAATGATGGTTAAAAGGATAAAATGTAACATTTTGACAATATATCGACGCCTCCATCTTTCCAGATGGGGACCAGGTCCAGTGTGCGTCTCTTTGCCATTGCTTTTCTGTTCTTGATGTCTGTTACTCTGTAGGCCCTAAATATGCCCCCCCCCCCTAAATGAATAGCAAACCTGTCGTGTAAAGTCAAGCCCTCTGTCCCGCTTCTCCACTTCATTTCAGGGCTGAACGGTTCCAATTGTTTCTTTCTGCAATAATGGTGCAAAATTTAGTTAATTGAACCATAGATGATGGTAAAAATAAGGCAACTTTCTTTGTAGTCCCTGGCTGATGCATCAATGTGGTTGCATAAACACGCTATAGCATTCATTCTTTTTTTCTGATAATTTGGGTATGAGAATTTGTTATGATAACATAGAAATCGAAATATTTATTTTCAACTGAGCTTATTTTAACAACCGTAATTTCATCAGCACGAATGTTGCTTTGTTGTTTACTTAGAAGATAAAATATAAATTCTTTATGTGTGTCATTATATTGCTATTCTATTTGACATCTTATTCATTTATTCTTATTTGATAGCTATGAATTGATGACGATTCATTTTTGTATGAAGTAATTCAAATGTTTTGTTATATTTGTACTTTATTGTAAATCACTCACAATTCAGCCTTTGGGCTGCGACGAATCGATAATAAAACCCTTTAATTTATTGAATTGAATTAGAATTCTCGTTTCATCAACGACTCTCCTTGAACTGACTGGATTCATGTGTCTAATTGATAATTTCCATTGACGAACCAAGATATTGCTTTTACTGGTTAATCATTTTTTCTTGTATCTACTAAATTCGTTATAGATTCCCATTCTGGATCGCTATTTCTGCATAACAGTGACCGATGATTCAAATCAAACGCCATTATTCAAGTACGCCAATGGCATAGCCCCTGTTCCATCCACGGCAATTCTAGAGCTGCCTGGTACTCTCATGTCATCCATCATAACCACTACTGAAGTCAACTACACCATCGCTTTAATCGGAACATCGAGTGGAGATCTACTCAAGGTAAATAATCCCTAATCGGTTGAAATGTATGACTGAAGGCGTCGTAGAGCCTAAATTGGACAGTTTAGAGGCAGTTTTATTTCAAACCATTTAGTTTACACCCCTTGCACTCGAAACTTTAGTTTTTAGGACGACGCATTGATTCTGGAAAGTTATTAATTTTTAAAAATGAGAAATAATCAGCTATATTTTTGGTCTCTCTTAATAAATTGGCTTGCAAGAGCGACGCTGCTTAAGCATACACTCAAGGCAAGCAGTGCATGCCGGGTTGACCTTAATTATCCATAAATCCATGTGAAATTTCTTAACTCTCTATGTACAATGTAGGTGTAAACAGATGTATTAAGGTCCTATGCGTCATCTTGTCATTAGGTTCATATGGAAAGTAATACTGCCAGCCGACTTTATGAACGCATAAGCGTTGATACCAGTCTAGTTCTGCCAGATGTCAAGGTTAATGACACAATACGAGTACTTTTTCTCTTGACGGAACAAAAGGTAAGCACATACCTCACCTGCTAAATAATGACTTTCTCCACTCCATTTAACTTCGCCCATGGCACATTAGCAGAAAAGGTTACAGATTTGGCAGTGAAAAAAAATCAAAAGCTAAACTGATGTGGTTTTTTTTTTAGAGCAACTAGATTATCAGTTATTTATGGAAAGCCAGAGAAAACATAAGGTACTTTGAATATTACCATAACAACAAAGAGCTTAGCAATTTGACCAAATGAACATACGATCATCAAGAAAACCCCCCAACTTTTTGCTGAAATCAAATACTTTTTTTCAACATTAAGATAATAGTGTACAATAAAATTGTAAGAAAGTTACAATATATTTTACCTTTTAGTTGGTGAAGCTTCGCGTTGAGAATTGTGGCCAATACATTACATGCGAAACGTGTATTGGGACTGATGCAGGGAATGATGGAGACCCATATTGTGGATGGTGCACTCTGGAACGAAGGTACAGTCATTTGGTTGCGAAGGGCGATTTCTAAAGGTTACGTAATACTTCATTTTGAATAAACTACATGGGCACACACATGTTCACCGTTGGCGGGCGAAATCTTTGAAAAATAATTTCTCCCGTTTGGGAGACCGTATCTTCCCATAATTTACTTTCCTCATAATGATCCAAGTATATGCTAAAAATCGTTGTGATGTGTTCCTTACCTTCATTGAAATTGGAAAAATAGGCCTGGTTACGTGCATCATTGACGTTTGCAATAGATGTCAATCTTTTCAAGCCTCACGAATATTAATAAAGTTCCTATTCTTTATGGTGTGCAGTAAAAATTTTGAGAAAAGCCTCCTTCACCAGTTATTAATTGATCAATATCATCCTTTTTGCCGGCTTCCATTGGTCGATACCGGGACCCACGCCAAAACACGCCGAGTGACGCTAATGAATATGCTGATCTACAATACGTACGATATTGTGTGGCTTGGCCGAAATCGGTCAACCGTAGCGTCTAAGGCGCTTTGCTAAACAATGCATGTGACTTGGGTTGGCAGAAATCATCGTCGAAATATTCCATGGAGATGATTCAAATTGTAGCACTAGCGTTTGCAACAACATATTAAGCTGAAATTCGGAATATACTTAGATGATATAAGTGTTCAATTACTCGTGAAATAACACATTTTGAGAAATTCCTAGAAATAGATATAAATACAGAGATTTGGGGAAGTTTTCGAACGATTTCTTCCAGATTTAAAGGTCAGCTATACCAGTAACCAGTATTGGCGTTTCGGCAGCGATGACGGCGATTTTTACACTGACATGAGGCTAAGAATTTCTTCTTCCGTTAAAATTTAACTGTTCAATCATACTGTACATATTTTCTGAGAAAAGGCCATGTTTTTTGTGGTGCTTGAATTTCACTGCTCTGCTATAGTGTCTAAGTACGTAATCGGATTAGCTTTGCCCAACAACGGCAGACGCTTTGCCTTAGCAACCACATGACTGGGCAAGTCACACGGGATGCCACCCGAGTACATTGATGGGTAATTTCAGAAGTTTTATAGAACGGTAGTCTATCACCACTCATACAGGGTGCAACATGTATTGCACTGCATCTGATGTAGGTAAAACATAGGTTGTGCACTCTGGAATAGAAGTAATTTATTGGGAAACTTCCTACAGCTGGTCAGTTTAGTTGATTGTGTCAGTGAAAAAAACTTCTTTTCTATTTATATGATTAATACAGAGTTCAAGGAGCTCGTTCATTGTATTTGTCCGATGTCATTTGTACGTAAAAGAACATTCAAATTCAGTGGTGACGTAACGATGTTCTCCAATGAAATCTAGAAGGTAGAGCATGTCATGTTCTTCCGTTTTGGTTTTTGCTTTGGATGACTGTCGACTACCAATCTATCCTGATCATATGATAACATTGAATTCTTGCCTAGATGTACGAGATATTCAGACTGTCCATCACCTGATGTATCTACTCGATGGTTGGCCTACAATGCTGATCACTGCATTAGTATTACCACGGTAGCTCCCTATAATAACCTGCCAATCACAGTCACTGAGCAACTGGTGAGATACGGATGCATTTAAATCACATCTTAGTTGTATCCTTAGAGTAAAAAGCAATGAAATTTGCTTTAAAAAATTAAACACTCACTTCAAAGTGCAGATTTGTTATGGATTGATCCAGATATATTTACCATATATAAATATGATATGAAGAAGTTAGCGTCAATGCGACGTCTATCGTACAGACGACATATAAGGTCTAATCACTTTAATTTTGCTTCCCTTGGATCACCATCCTTTAAATAATTTTTTTTATCTGTGAATAATTACACAAATTGTTTCTCGCACTTTGCCTTCTTAATTTTTAGGAGTAACAATTGCATGCATTTTATTGTATGTAGGCCTACTCTTAATAAATCTTGGCTTTGTACAGAGACCTGTATATTTGATGTCACGCCATCTTTATTATGTTTTGAATTTCGTGAATCTCAAAGAAAATATTTATCGTGCGTCGGAGTCATTTGAGCTCACCAAATGTTATTTTAACTCTGTCTATAGTATCCCTGACCAGTGGAGCTAACTCTTGGAGTTTATTCAATATTAATAAAATAAATATATTAGTATTTAAATATAATTTTTTTTCTTTCACTTTTTAGATCAACCTGACTGTGCAAAAGTTCCCCGATCTAGGGACCGGCCAGAGTTATGGATGTCATTTCGGGTCATTCGAATCTCCAGCTACGAAGAATGGTGAAGTACTAGAGTGTACGTCACCTCCTAGTGATGGGATACCTGCCATTCCGCAAGGAGGCAAGTGCAATAAGAGACATCCATAGGATGTTATTTATGGCAAAATATACAGAGCAAGCACTCAAAAAGTCGACTTGTAGTTTCCTTCTTGTCCATTATAGAATGAAATAATGCTTGTAAATCAATCGCATTATATCAACAGAGGAATGTGATCATATAGGCTGTACAATATGGTACACTGACGTGCTTACTGTTAGCATGAAAATAATGTCTACATTTGGTACCCACAAAAATCGATTTGAACTCGTAGTAATTTAAAAATACACGCTCATTTTCGAATTGTCTGTTTCAACTCATAAACAAGGTGATTTTGTTCTTACTTTATTGCTTAGATGATGCAGTACATGTATATTTGGGTGTCGAGTCATCTGAAACTTCAGTTCAATTTATAGACACCGACTTCTACTTCTACGAGTGTTCAACGCACACCTCGTGAGTATTAATCAGTTGTATTTGAAATTCAATTTGTTTTCCTTTAGGTTGTTTAAATGCATATTTTCTCCCCTATTACGTATGCCTGATGCTTTTTTTAAAATCTTTAAATAATGCAATTCTCTTTGGTTGTGTACGTAGTTGTGTATCCTGCGTTGGTAGTCGCTGGGCCTGCGATTGGTGCGTGTTTGAGAATAGATGTACTCATGAAAGCTCCACATGCACACCTGCTAATGAAATCATCGTTACTGGAGATAACGTGAGAACAAAAGTATAAGAGCTAAGCCGATACAAATTTTGAAAAGAAAAAAAAAATATTATTTTGCTTACATCTCTTGATTGTAGAATCCTATGTGTTGACTATTCAGTAAACACGTATTTTGCGCATTAGTTATTGAAAATGACACTAATTGTCATGTACTCCTTCCATTAAGCACACGTGGAAGTATCTGAAATTATACTTTTACTTTGGAAATAAGATAATTCCTATCAGATTTCTCTTGATCATGAGTTTTAGAATGAAGCAGATGTATATTTTTGGGGAGGTCATGACATAGTTTGTTGTTTGTTGGCATTCAACCTACAGAATCCGACCGCTTCTGCAGTCAAAGGACCTGAGTTTTGCCCTCAACTGCTGAACCAGACTGCTGAAATTCTGCTTCCTAATGAAATTATGAGGAACATCACTGTCATGACTAAAAACCTGCCAGACGAAGCTGAGGTTTGTTTATTAATGCCTGAAAATAACACAACAAACAAAAACAATGTCAGTTTGTAACTGATGTCCACGATAACCTCCGTCTATCAGAACATTCCCATGTCAGTGCCTGATAGTAACAGTTTCCAGATTTCTCTGAGTCCAGTTATCACCTTGCTTAATTCATCCCCTAGAAGAAAATACAATTCCCCCATTGGAATACTGTCCGATATAGTTTGCTAAATGCTATGGGTCATATCTGACCTTCTTTATGACATTGAATTAAATGCAAAGCGAATTGCAAAGTTATCATTGACCGAATATGTAAACTTGAGGCGAGTGTAGTTGGTGCAGTTTCAAATGGTTTATGCACCCTATATAATATCATAAGCATTAACATTGCGTGTGCTTAGATAAAGGTTAATATTTGAATGATAAGCTGCTCTTGAATCGCTCTTTGGTGTCATGCAACATAAACATTGCGTCGCATTGTCATGTATTGAACTTTCAAAGAAAGCTGTTTACTTTCAAAGGCCTTTGAAAGGAAATACTGTCAAGTAATTCTTAGTTTTTAACACTCTTTCTA